TGCGAGCAGGTGGCTTACTAATAGCACAGTGGTAGAAGGGCTCTTTCACATGGCTGGGTAGCTGCAGTAACCGTTTTCCAACTGACATTACTGGGGAATGCAATTAGCAGCAGCCACTCAGCCTATATACATTAATGGCAGGCTGACCGTGGCCACTTTGCTCACATGTAGCTGTACACAGAGCAGATAGCTGTGGTTAGGGACAGATGTTTGCGCCTGGGTGAAGCCGACTCTATCCAGGCTTAAACATCAATTGATAGCAGGTATTCGCACACAGAATGGTTAAGAGAGCTAATTGCGTGTACCAGTCATTCCAGCCAAAAGAATCCACCGATTCTTGCTGCTGGAAACTGGTGACCACAGCTAACTATGAATGTAGCTTAACCGCAATATACCTTTGATGAAAACAATTGGAAAAATCAGACATTAAGCATGAACAAAGCATATCCCTCTATAGCAGTGGTTCTTAACCTGGGTTCGATCGAACCCCAGGGGTTCGGTGAGTCAGTCTCGCGGGTTCGGCGGAGGTGAAGACCCACACCCGACTCATATGATTCATGATGACATGCCCCGCTTGTCCATCATTGGCTGCAGGTGGTCACGCAACATCGCTTAGCCCAGTGGTCGGCAAGCCGCGGCTCGCGAGCCACATGCGGCTCCTTACACGCTTTAATGCGGCTCTTGTGTGCCGGGCGCCCGCTCCCCTCCCTCCTCTCGGGCGGCAGGGACTCTGCAGCGTGATCAAAAAAAAAAAAAAAAAAACAGCCAGGGCAACGCGCTCAAATGCAATGATTGGCCAGTCTCGCTGCCACTCACATCCTGATAGCCAGTGATTGGCTGTCAGGATGTGTGTAGGCGGGGCAGCGTGACGAACGTGAAAGGAGCTAGGCTCCTCTCACAGTCCGCCCTGAAGAGCGGAACGGCGCAAGAATACGGCGAGAGGAACGCGCGGAGCAAAGGTAAGTGAATTGACACAGGGGGGACTTGGCTTACTACTTGCTACTACTATATGGAGGGATGAATTAATAGGGGGGATGAATTACTATAGGGGGATGAATTACTATATGGGGGATGCTGGACATTTCGAGGATGCTGGACATAAAGACGAAGAAAAGGAACAGACTTTGTTGCGAAAATGACATGAGAGTGGCACTTGCCAAGGTAATGCCGCGCATTTCTGAACTGGCCTCTGAAAGACAACAGCAGAAGTCACACTGATTTGCGGTAAATATTCATTATTTTGTTTTTGTGTGAAAATCATGTTTTAATGGTTTTGTTCTTAATGGTTTTGTTCATTTTGTGCACCTATGTATAAATATATACCTATGTTTTGAATTTTAAAAATCATATTTTTTATTTTTCCAATTAAGAAGGGTTCGGTGAATGCGCATATGAAACTGGTGGGGTTCAGTACCTCCAAAAAGGTTAAGAACCACTGCACTATAGTGTGTGCTTGTCACTCCAGAGCACTTAAATGTCATTTATAGCTGCTACTTCATTACTCTTCCATCAGCATAAATCAACTGACACGTTTTCCTGACACCAAGAAAAAAAAAAAAAAAGTGACAGTCAGTGATTGACAGCCTCAGCTCTGTTCCTGTGTGAAGGCAGGTGCATCTTTAAGCCAATCAGCTCTCAACCCCAATTTTCAGTTTTGAGATCCAGTGAAAATTCTGCACTTTGTATGGATGCAGGGGACAGGCAGCTGTATTGCAACAGGTACAACTTATGTAGGATTTGTTTCATCTCCGTGTATTACCTGAGGCCAGTCACTTCATTGGATATGTTAAGGTCCTTTCACAGAACAGACAGTTTTAGCAGATCCACTTGCTCAGCAGGGAATCTCTCCACTAGTCCCCGCCGGGCAAGCAGATGACAGCTCTGTGTGCACTCCACTGCTGCAAATTTAAAAAAAAAAAAAAAAATCTTGTCATTAGCAGCTCAGTACATTGATCTGTTCAGTGGGGGGGGGGGGGGGGGGTTACATCATTTGAGACCCACCCAGGATAACCACACTCTCAGACAGCTATCATATTACTGTAGGCAGGGCAGGAAATAGTTAAAAGCCACCTGAAAACCCTGTTTGGGTACAGTACCTATTAACAATAGCCCAATATAAAAAAAAACTGCATAGGGAATGCAATACCATTAACATGTTTTCTGGAGATCCCCCCACCCCCGTGTCACTTCTCCAGACCAATTCACAGAAAAGACTCAAGCATCATTTTGCAAGCCAAGAGGAAGATGCCTCCTATCTATAGGCCTGCTATGGTCCCATTACAGTTAGTGTCCCCTCTATGCACAAAGGGAGTGCCTGGAGGATAGTGGCCGTTGACCCCCTCTCCACTACCTACAGTCAGACTAAAAGCCAAAAAAGGAATCCATGGCTATTGTAGGGCTTGACTATGTTCTCTAAAGCTCTACACACCAGTTCCCAGTTCTCAGCCTGGTCACATCTCTACACGAACCATAGATTATTCATCTTCCAACAGCCAGAGAGCCACTGCAAAACATCTCCATAAAACCGTACACTTTCCCAATATCAGGGTATCTCAACCAGAGTTCCATGGAAGCGTATACTGATTGGATTGAGTGAAAGTTGTAGCACCTACAAACTATGGTATACTAATAGTGGTGATCAGACGGTGATCTGCAATAGTGTGGCAGGCAATTTAACAGGGGGGAGGAATCTGACAATAAAGCAGAGTTCCCAGCTTCCCCCCCCCCCCCCCCCCAAAAAAAAACAAAACAAAAAAACAAAAAAAGGATAGTCAGCAGCTACTCACTTATTTGGGTACTTACCTGTCCAGGGATCCAGCACCGTTCTTACCCGGAGCAGATTCTTCAGTCAGCCCCCCGGTGCTGGCGCATCTTGACTAAGGGAAACCAGCCGTGAAGCCTTGCAGGAACTGGGAGCAGGTACCTGTCAAAATACACACTCCGACCTAGAGGGGCCAAAATTTGCAATGGGGGGGGGGGGGGGGGGGAGAGAGGGGTCTAGGCAGGTAAGCGGAGTGTCCATTTTTGGGTGGCACTCCAATATAGTGATCATACTGTACTGATGACACTGGCTGGGGAGGGGTTAACATCTAGGGCAATGAAGGGGTTAAAATGATTGTAAAGTATGCTGCTTTTACTACTAGATCTGTTCCTCATTCCTGCTTTGCAGGGATGAAAAGCTAGGTTGTTCCCTCTGTACCGAGAAGAGTTGGTAACAGTTCTGGGCTGTGGTTATACACAGCCAATAAGTAGGTCCTGACCATGAATCATTGGCGAGGACCGACAATCCCGCAGTGTACAATCACAGCAAGTGCCAGAACAGACCCTGAAGAAAGCAGCAACGTATCGGTACATCGCTTTGCCCACAGCGGCAGCCCCTCCGCAGTACATTGCAAGCAGTCGCCAAGTGTTTAAAGTTTTATTCCATGTGCAAAAAATAATGCCCAACCCAGTATATTTACCCTCATTCCAAAAAAGTTTTGGAACAGACCACACGGCATTAAAAATGTCGCTCTTTGTTTTGTCCTCATTTCACAAGGTGTGGGGTGCCTGGCTGTGGCCCATGATGCAATCTAAGGTGTGAAAAAAAAATTATTCATTAATTTTTTGTTATTATACATCCACAGGACAAAGCATCTTCAAATCCATGATGATAGGGATGGCCCAAGGCAATGAATGAGGGTAAGCCGACACCAAGATGCTTGCAAAAGCTGAAGCCTTACCCACCTGAGGGCGGCAACATAACCAAATCTTCATGAATAAGAAGAGTCTGTGTTCCAAGACACATCGTAAAGACAGCGAATTCCAATAAATCAATACAATTAGGAGTTCAAGTAGAAAGAAAGAATAAAAAGACAAAAACAGACTTTATTTAATCCATTTTATTTAAGAATCCTACATTGACAAGTCTTGTAAAAAGCATCCAAACACAGAACACATATCTGCAGCAAACGGCATTCTGGGTATAACGTACAAACCAAAACAGTCCCAACACTCTAGAAAAACAGGAGCATTTCACGCCACTCCAGAGCGTTCACCACCCACCCCACCAGCATCAAATGCAGTTCACAGAGACTCACATTATCAGTGAACAGAAAAGAATGCAACACCTCATACAGCATTCACAGCAATAGACGTTTTCAGGAAAGGGGGGAAAAAAAAAAAAAAATTTTTGTACACAAACTGATTTCAAACAATCTTTTAGGCAGGAAAGGCCTCAGTCTTCCAAACTGGACAAGTCCTCTGAATGCAAGAAACATTCGTACGTTACTGGCTCCCACTGCTCTCTGCACACAATCACCAAGGTCAATGGATCCAGAGACACATAGTCACCTTCATGTAAAAAAAAAAAAAAAAAAATATATTCCCATAATGCACCACCAGGTCTGCGCACGCGCTCTCTGTTCTCGCTCATACCCAAGCCTCTCATTCCTTGGTAACACCAATCCCACAGTTCAAGCAAGCCTTCTGGTTCCACCTCACAGCCGTGCGTTCAGAAGCGCTGGCACGACTTCCACGAAAATAAAGTAGCGGATTAAAAATGGCTCACCCACCGTTCTTAAAGGCCACAGAGGAGGCGTTCTTGCTGGGTACGGTGTGCAGGGGGAGGGGAAGAGAGATCCAGCGTGGCTTATTAAAGAGATGCTTGCGTGTGCCAGGTCCCGGGCAGACAAAAGTGAGGAGCAGAGATCAGTTGACGAAGCAGTGAAAACAATAAGGGAAGACTGTCCTAAACATATTCAGAATCACTCATTTACAAAATGGAAATAAAAAAAAAAAAAAAAATAAAGTTATACATCAGGTAATGTCAGCTGGTTTTCTTCAACATGCAGCATCGAAGAACACAAGTATCAGCCATCTTGCTTTGTGAAGCAGGCGCAGCTGCACACTTGAAGAAAACTTTCAGGAAACATTCCAAAAAAAAACTTCATTTTACATTGTACTTACCACAAAATTAGGAAATGTTTGTTCACCCCAGTCACCTCTCTAACTATTATTTCTACATACCCCACCCCGATGACTTTGAATCCATGCTTGAGCCAAAGCCCCCATTGAAACCCAGTACCAGAACCAGCGTTTGGTGAACCCCAGCCTATAGCACCAGAGTTTGAGCCATAGGAGTTACTACCTGACCCGAAACCCTGTGACTGGTCCCTAGGCTGATTCCCCTGGCCCTGACTATTCCCCTGTGGACCAGGCTGGTTCTGTTGGCTAGCCAACATGCCCATCATGCCCCAGCTACTTTGAAGAGCTGCCTGAGCAGCTGCCATCATAGCTGGGTTGATGCTAAAGGCCCCAAAATTCATTCCACCGCCACCCCCCATATTGTTCGGTTGACTGTTACCAAGGCCACTGCTGTTTGGCCTATTGTTGGGGTAGGCCTGGTTCCCAAAGTTTGGCCCTGGGAATCTTCCTGCCCTATCCAAGGGCGCTCGGTTGTTGTTGTGTTTGGGTTCAGCTGTTGACACATGAACGCTGACCCCTTTGATGATTAGGTCTTCTCCACACAGAGATTGTGCCACCTAGAAGATAAAAAACACCATCAATGGTTATATACCAAACATCCATCAGCTGTGCCACCGTCACAAATTTTGCAGTCTCCAAGAAATGACTGGACTATAACTTATATGTGTAGGTAATTTCATTTTAGGGCCCATTCACACTGATCAGTTTTTCACGCCGCTTTCTTTTAGATCCTGGGGAACTCTTCACACCAGTCAACTGTATTTTGAAAAGTCTCGCTTCCTGCATTTTTGGTGAATGTATAAAACTGCACCTCCCCATAGGGAAAAAAAAAAAAAAAAAGGCTTTTTTTTTTTAAAGTTGTGAGTTTTTCCCAGGTGCACACCGATTTCAGACAACCAGAAAAAAAAAAAAAAAAAAAAAACCAGCAAAACACTCATATGCATATTTTTTTTTTTTTTTTTTTTTTTAACATGCAGCAGTGTGAAAGCAACTTTAAATCGGATCTTCACCCATTCTACTGACTCCACATAGCTTTTCTCCCCCTCTTTTTTTATTTATTTTTAAAGTTTGGCCCATTTACCCGATCGCTCAGTCATTTCACCTGGTTGAATGGTGTTCGTGTACCCAGCACCTCCTGGGAAATGTGACGTGAATATCCCCAGGAGGCACTAAGAGCACTGCATGTCACTTCACCCCATTCACTAACGGAGGGGGGCAAGCCTAGCAGCATGCCATCAGTAGACAGTCTACCAAACAGGCCAGAGCCCACATAAAAAGCAAAAAACAAAAAAAAACAAAACCCTAAACAAAGAAACGGACACCACCTTGCCTAAAAGTACAATCTGTAAAGAAACAGGTTAATAACAGAATAGATACTCCTGTGCTGCCACTAAACACAAAAAAAGGACAGAGCTGCTGTTAACACCTTAATTGTGATCCCACATCCAACCTTTAGATAGCTCAAAATGGTCTAGTGTTTTGCTAAAAAATGTGCCACAAAAAATAAGTAAAACAATTTGTTTTTTTTTTGTTTTTTTAGTGGGGCCCCTACTAAAGCCTTACCTGAACTGCAGCAGTTCTCACAGGCTTCACTTTACACTGGCTATAGAGGATCGAAATTTGGCTGGATCAGCAGAGACCAAAACAAATTTCAATCCATCTATTGCCATTCTGGTGTGTGGAAAAGCCACAAAACATGCAATCTGCCAGGGTAAAGTATTATTTCCCCCAACCTCAGTCCTAAAGTACCCCCAAAATGTCACATTTCCAGGCGATAGATATATATTATAGATAGATATATATATATACACATAGAAATGCGGGCGCAAGGCGGTTCTCATTCTGGGAGGACGTCCTCGCACTCTGTGCGTGCGCGCATCCAGAAGCGTGCAGCGATTGGTGGTGCGCTGTGTCCCTGGGACACAGCGGATCACCAAATCAGTGGAAAGAGCAGATGACTTTGGCTCTGTCATGTGATCAGCTGTGTCCAATCACAGCTGATCGCATGTAAATAAGGAAATGCCGGTTATCCGCATTCCTCTCCTCACAAGCTGTCACACTGAGAGGAGAGCCGGTAATCGGCATTCCTCAGAGGGGACATCTACACTGATTATCAGGGCACTGATGATCAGTGTAACCCCCATCAGTGCACATCACATCAATGCCACATAGTGCCCATCTGAGCTGCCTTTCAGTGCCATATGAGTACTATCTATCAGTGCCCATCACTGCAGCCTCATTAGCGCACATCAGTGAAGGCGAAAAATTACTAATTTACAAAATATTGTAACAAGAGGAAAAAAAAACCAAACACTTTTCAGTTTTCGGTTTAGCAAAAAATAAAAAACCCAGTGGTGATTAAATATCACCAAAAGAGGTCCCAAAAAAAAAAATTTTTTTTTATATGAATACAGTGTTGCATGACCACGCAATTGTCAAAGTGCGACAGCACTGAAAGCTGAAAATTGGCCTGGGCAGGAAGGGGATATAGGCGCTCTGCAGGCAAGTGGTTAAGGAAAAAAAATCCCAAAACACGACTGGACCTGTTGGGACTACAGGAGAACTGAGGTTGGAAAGCACTGGGATATAGGGTACTTCACAGGCAAGTAAAACTTTTTTTTTTTTTTTTTTTTAAAAAACACTAAAGTGGTTTGTTCCTTTACTGTTACTGTGTATTTCATAAATGACTGTAGTTACTAATGCTAGGGACACACAGCAGGAACCGACTAACTTTAGTCCGTGTCTACAGCTGTATGTCTGAAGGAATAAGTCGCTTAAGTCAATAGCTAATCAGTGTAGTCTGGAAGATGGACTGTCCCCCTGTCCGAACACAATGGCACAGTGGAGAAGATCGCTGCACCAACACCTGTGTGGTTACATGATCTGTCATTCAACCCGCTGGACGAAAAAAAAAAAAAAAAAAAAAAACTTCCAGTGTGAACCAGGCTTTAGACAGTGCACAGAACATACCTGGTCATCTGCAAATGTGACAAAAGCGAATGCTCTGAAAGGCTTTGGGATGAACACATCTACAACTTCACCATACTGAGAGAAGAACTGCCGAAGCTCTTCAGCACTCATGTCCTCCGTACAGCGGCCAACAAAGACTTTTCGGCTGCGCATGGGCTCATCTGGGCTTTGCTGAAAAAATAAAAGACAAAAATGTAAAAGTGCACTTCATAACTAAACTAACTGCTCATGTGTCTGATCTAGTCGCTAGCTCATAAAATTATCAAACGCTAAATTATAGCAACCACTTAAAGCCAGTCTAGACAGATATACATTTCATAGCAAGACCACATCAGTAGTGAAAACAGTAAAGTAAACAAAAGGGGCTCTAAACCTTAAGCATTTACCTAAAAAATGTTCCAGATAATCTTATAATAGTATCCCCCATCCCCCAATACTTACCCCAGTCCTCGCCCAATCCAGCACTGTCCCTAACAGCCCTTTTAGGTTGATTGGCTCCAACTCCTGTCAGTCAAATCCTGTAAAGAGTAAGCAGGGCCGAGCTGCGTTTTGTCTATGGACACAGACAGCGAGGTTCAGAAGCTAGCACGCAGGTGTGCCCCCTTAGCAAACAGTTTGCTATGGGGTACACTAAGAAGAGGAGCAAGGACCATTGGCGTAGGATTTGAGAAAATTAGGTTCTGGGTTGCTCTGTGCAATTCCAGAACAGATAATGTTTATTAATTTGAAAATAATTTATAAAAAAAAACACTTAAAAAACCCCACACAAGGGGGACTTTACAATCACTTTAAAAAATTGAGGAAGGTAGATATTTCAAAACAGCCACAAACGGCTTTTAGTTCTCAATGAACTGAGGGCGTTGGTGAGCGCAGCTTTAAAATTTCATTGATTCTTCCTTTCTTCCAGTAACGGTCTACCTGTATGGGAGGTACAGGTAAGACAGCCGAAGTCTCTGCAGGATAGGGACACTGCATCTGATCAGCTTATGTGTGCAATGTTCTGCAGGCTACTAGGCGGGAAGAAAAAAAAAAAAAAAAAAAAAAAAAAAAGCTGATTTTTACCTGCAAAAAGAATTATTTATTTTTAAAGTTACTCAGCCTTTCAGGAGATCTAAGCACTTATAAGCACTTAAGACACTGCAAACATGACATCTCTTCTTACCTTTGAATTAGGAAGTTTGCAATCACACCATCTCCCGTCTATCATGTGCCGCTGTGACATTACTTTCACCTGTGTTTCATAGTCTGCAAAGCGAACAAATCCAAAGCCTTTTGAATGACCTGTTTTGGCATCTTTTTTAACCTGCAAGAGAAAAAAAAAAAAAAAACTACAATTTAACAACTGGTACAGGCAGCACACAAAAAACAAAATTCTTACATCAGAGAGAGAAAAAAAAAAAATACCTGGACCATGATTACTTCTCCAAATGTACTGAAATATTCTTTAAGGTCCTGCTCTGTCGTTTTCCATGGAAGTCCCAACACAATGAGATCAGATGTTTTTGTAACGGCACGCTTTATTTTAACAGCTGAAGAAGCATCGGTTTCATCCATCTTTCTCTTGTTGTCTAATAGAAGAAAAAAAATTATATATATCAAATCAGCGAGGGGGGGGGAAGTAACCCCTCTGCGACCACCCCCACCCCGAATAAAAAAGAAAAAAAAAAAAAAAAGTGTTTTGCTTTTAATTTCTGAATGGGTTATTTTACAAGGTGAAAGTTTTATACTTTAACCCCTTCACGCCTAAGGGCAGGGTGGATAAAAACCAATGATTTAAAAAAAAAAAAAAAAATTTTTATTATTTAAAATCAGATTTTTTTAAATAAAATGCTTTTTGAGGAAAATATATTACCATCCAAAGGTTATTCCATCATGAAATAAAGATTAGTTTAATTATGTAGAATAAGGCTGTATATGTTTAATTTTTTTGGTAAATAAATTCCATGAATCCATTCACAATGTCATGCTCTTCCAGAGGTTTTTGTGAGATTATTGGGCAGTTTCTCTGCCTACAAGATATTATCACAGATGTTTGGTTTACTTTTGCAGTTCTCAAAACTGAATTTGACTCAGCGGAGATCACATGCCTTCTTCACAGCAAAAATGTTATAACATGAACAGAGTTAAGAAAAAGACCTTCATCCTAACTTCTACAAACCTAGGAATACAGAATCAACCCCTTCACTGCTAAGTTTCAAGAAGTTCAGTGAATAGAATAGAAACAATATTTTTCTGATTGTTTGGAGTGGAATAGATCTGCACAAGAAGAAAGTGAAACTAAGTGTGAGGAGGAAGGGGCTAACTGTCCAAGTTTCTTAAAAACATATATATTTTGTTTAGCCAAATTAGTTAAACATGGATGTTTAAGCAAATCACATATGCTGGAATGTTATTGTTTCAGTTGAATAAATCTATTTAAATTGTTATTATTAAGGTAATGATTATTTTTCTCCTTCCTAAGTACAACAGAAAAGTTGTCCAAATATGAATGATTAACCTATTAAACTGGGGATAAAAAAACTAATATGAAAAGTTGTTATTCTAAAAATCTTCATCTACTTGTATATTAAAGTTATACCAGCAAGAATTAGTCTTTATGTAGAAAACTAGGATTTACATCAAGCCTGACGGACTAGTGATTTAAATCAAATCCACCCTGCCTAAGGGTAAAACAAATCTAAATGCCTAAGCACAATTTTAAAGTGTTGACATGTGTTAGTAAAACCGTACATATCACAGCTGCTTTGTACATCCAGGTGAATTATACCACGTTTTTTTCAGGACAAAATTGGGCTTTCATTTGATGGTAAATGGATAGCTCCTGATTTTTTTTTTATTATCAAAAGGAAAACTGGCCCAAAATAGTAAAAAAAAAAACTTTTTTTTTTTTTTTTTATTTAGCTGTGTTTGTTACTACCATAACCTACCAAAACAACCCAAAATAAATTCTCCAGCTTGCAGCGATACCACGTGTATTTGTTGTCTGTACCTGTAATACAGCCCGGAAACAATAGTGCGCATTGTTTTTGTCTTTTTTTTTTACCTAAAACACACTGACATTTGACACATATCAATTTTTTTTTTTTTTTTTTTTAAATCCTGACCTTTGACTCTGACCCAAACAATAACCCTAGCGCTGAACTAGATCAAACCTTGATCTAGGTATTTTGTATTTAATTTGATTTTTTTTTACAACATGCGGTCTTTGTAGTGCAGCACGGTTCCAGCACAAAGACAAGTACACAAATATGTGGCCCCACGGAAAAAAGCCCAGTTCCGCGAGGCCGCATATTTGTGTGATGTCGGCGTCAAAAGACCTATGTCCCCTCCAAGAGAAAAGGTTATGTGCCCTCCTGACAGCTTGCCAAGTCCTACCTTACCCTCTGCTCCAGCAGTGGAGTGGTTAAACTTACACTTCGAGCTTTAAGGCCTCATACACGATCAGAAAACGTCACTAAACCCAGTCTGTACGCATTATCGCATGCCTGACACACAATCCTGCTGTTCAGTTGCTCCCTCCAGTGCATGTTCCCACTGTATAGAGTGGAACGTATATAGAGAAAAATGACAGCCCACTCCCTCCCTTACGCCCACTAACTACCAAAACACAGTGGGCGGGGTATCACATCTTGATTGATGGAGGGATCGCCTCCACTATAAAGCATGGCTGGAGGGGACTTAAAAAGGAGCTCCAGTCATATTTGTAAAAAATTTAGCAGCTACAAAAAAGTGGCTGCTGACTTTCCCAGGACCCAGCGACGTGCTCACCCGGTTATTACAGCTTACGACTTCACAGCAGGCTGCCCACTGCAAATGGTCCCGCAGCCTTCTGGGACCTGTGATGTGGCCCAAAAGACCGAGAGGGGTCGGGAGCAGAAGTTCCACTCAGATTGCTTAGGTGGTCAGAGATTAAGTTGGAGTGAGTACCTGTCAAAACCAGGTACCCCCTCCCCCCAAAAAAAAAGTGTGCTTTCTTAAGGAGGAGCAAAGGAGGCCTTAAAACGTCCCTTTTTGGGTGAAGCTCCACTTTAAAGAGGTAGCAATTGGCATAACCTAGATACTACTAGAGCAGGGGTGGGCAAACTTTTTGACTTGAGGGCCGCAATGGGTTCATATATTGGACCCGGGGGCCGGACCAAGAGTAGATGAATGATGTGTATGTGTCATCCATAGTAAGCATAGTAATTCATCCCCCATATAGTAATTCATCCCCCATATAGTAATTCATCCCCCATATAGTAATTCATCCCCCATATAGTAATTCATCCCCCATATAGTAATTCATCCCCCATATAGCAATTCATCCCCCATACAGCAATTCATCCCCCATACAGCAATTCATCCCCCATATAGCAATTCATCCCCCATATTGTAATTCATCCCCCATATAGTAATTCATCCCCCATATAGTAATTCGTCCCCCATATAGTAATTCGTCATCCCCCCCATATAGTAATTCGTCCCCCATATAGTAATTCGTCCCCCATATATAGTAGTAAGTCCCCCATATAGTAAGTCCCCCATATAGTAAGTCCCCCATATAGTAAGTCCCCCATATAGTAAGTCCCCCATATAGTAAGTCCCCCATATAGTAAGTCCCCCATATAGTATAGTAAGTCCCCCATATAGCAAGTCCCCCATATAGCAAGTCCCCCATATAGTAATTCATTCCCCATATAGTAAGTCCCCCCTATAGTAAGTCCTCCATATAGTAATTCATTCCCCATATAGTAAGTCCCCCATATAGTAATTCATTCCCCATATAGTAATTCATTCCCCATATAGTAAGTCCTCCATATAGTAAGTCCCCCATATAGTAATTCATTCCCCATATAGTAAGTCCCCCCTATAGTAATTCATTCCCCATATAGTAAGTCCCCCATATAGTAATTCATTCCCCATATAGTAAGTCCCCCATATAGTAAGTCCCCCCTATAGTAATTCATTCCCCATATAGTAAGTCCCCCATATAGTATTTCATTCCCCATATAGTAAGTCCCCCCTATAGTAATTCATCCCCCATATAGTAAGTCCCCCATATAGTAATTCATTCCCCATATAGTAATTCATTCCCCATATAGTAAGTCCCCCATATAGTAATTCATCCCCCATATAGTAAGTCCTCCATATAGTAAGTCCTCCATATAGTAATTCATTCCCCATATAGTAAGTCCCCCCTATAGTAATTCATTCCCCATATAGTAAGTCCCCCATATAGTAATTTATTCCCCATATAGTAAGTCCCCCATATAGTAAGTCCTCCATATAGTAATTCATTCCCCATATAGTAAGTCCCCCATATAGTAAGTCCTCCATACAGTAATTCATCCCTCATATAGTAATTCATTCCCCATATAGTAAGTCCCCCCCGTGTCAATTCACTTACCTTTGCTCCGCGCGTTCCTCTCGTATTCCCGCGCCGTTCTGGTCTTCAGGGAGGACTGTGAGAGAAGATCTCGTCACGCTGCCCCGCCTACATCCTGGCTGCCCCGCCTACATCCTGACAGCTGCAGAGTCCTGACGCCCGAGAGGAGGGAGGGGGCGGCCATCCGAGAGGGGGGGCGGCCATCCGAGAGGAGGGGAGGGGAGAGGAGGAGAGGGGGAGAGGAGGGAGGGGAGCGGGCGCCCGGCACACAGGATAGCTAGCCGCATCTAAGTTTTAAAGAGCCGCGGCTTGCCGACCACTGGCCTTGCGGGAGCCTAGCTCCGCGGGCCGGATTAAAAGGTCCGCCGGGCCGTATACGGCCCGCGGGCCGTAGTTTGCCCATTGCTGTACTAGAGGGTTACCACAAAAAAAACATCAGCTGCTGACGTGCATATTGAGGTAGCAAGTTTTTAAATCTTATTTGCCAATTTATAAATTTGTAATCATTGATCAAAAAAAAAAAAAAAATCCATGCATTATATTTTTTTTTTTTTTTTTAATAAAAAGTTATAAACTCACTCTTCCTGTCTCTAGAATACATAGATGTGGGGTGACTGATGTGAAGTACCTCCTGAACAAACCAAATTTCTGCTCATGTATGCACAGCTTTAGGTTCACACAGGCATGCAAAGAAAACCCCACTGCCAGGACTTCCAGTAGTAGCAATGTTTGTACTCCCCCTCTCTGTTGGTGTCCCTCAAGGTTCTGTCCTCGGGCCCCTTCCCTTCTCCATCTACACCTCCTCCCTTGGCCAACTGATACACTCCCATGGCTTCAACTACCAATCTCTATACTGATGACATGCAAATCTATCTCTACCCCTCGCCTCACCTCTTCAGTCTCCGCCCGAATCACCTGCCTTCTGAACGACAGACTGGATGTCACTCCACTTCCTCAAATTAAACCTTTCCAAAACCGAGCTCCTAGTATTCCCCCCAGCCCGCACCCCCCATCCTCTCCATCAGGACCAACAATGCCACCATCAGTCCCACCCTGCAAGCCAGAGTACTAGGTGTCATCCTTGACTCCAATCTGCGTTTCCAGTCCCAGATCCAATCGCTGACAAATTCATGCAGACTCCACCTCCGCAACATCTCCAAAATACGACCGTTCCTAACTCCAGAAACTACAAAGCAACTCATTCACTCCCTTATTATATCACGACTTGACAACTGTAACTCCCTCTTTGCCGGCCTACCCCAACACAGGCTATCCCCACTTCAGTCTATCCTGAAATCGGCGGCCAGAGTCATCCACCTTACCAACCGCTCCGCTTCTGCCACCCCCCCTCTGTCATTCCCTCCACCGGCTCCCGATTGCCCAACGCATGAAATTCAAATTACTAACATTGACATACAAAGCTGTTCATAACACTGCCCCAAACTACCTCACCGACCCAATATCCAAATACCACCCAACCTGTACTCTCCGCTCCTCACAAGACCTCCTCTCCAGTTCCCTGGTCTACTCCTCCCACGCCCAACTCCAGGACTTCTCCCATCGTCTGGAACTCACTACCCCAATCCATCAGACTGTCACCTACCCTCCTCACCTTTAGGCGCACCCTGAAAACCCATCTCTTCAGAGAAGCCTACCCCGCCCTCAGCTAATTGCCGATCTCCTCCGCTCTTCCCACCACTCCATCCCCCACAGCTATTTCCTCCCGTACCACTCTCCCCTCCCTCCTAGATTGTAAGCTCCAAGGAGCAGGCCCCTCGAACCCCTCGTGTATTGTATTGTTACTGTACTGTCTCGTGTATTGTCTCCCATTATAATGTACAGCGCTGAGCAAACTGTTGGCGCTATATAAATAATTTATGTTTGAAAAAAAAAAAAAACACAAACAACACAGACAAATGGACGTGTGTAAACGAATGTTAACGCTAGAAGTGCCAAGTGCTTGAGTGTTAATTTCAATAGCCAGAATAAACGATAAATCCAGCCAATTAAATGAATGTCCAAGCATTGAACACACCTAACTGCATTTACATGCATCAAGCATTTTTTTTTTTCCTGCCAAAACATCGCTGCCAGGATGAAAGGCATTAAGGGTTCATAGACACTGCAGCTGAAACTCGCGTTTAGGAGCTGTTCAGCGGTTTTTTTTCAGCAGCCCCTGAACTCTCCCTAATGTTTTCCAATGTGTCCATGTACACATCGTCGTTTACAGGCAAGTTGAGTTTACTGTCTTTTTTTTAACGCAGAAAACTTGCGTTCAGGAGATTTTCATCAGCGCTTCAAACGCTTGTAAACGCGGCTAGCCGAGTTTATAGGTTTTTTTTTTTACCACTTCCATTCCCAGATGCTGTCCAGAGCCTTTTTTGATCATGAAAAATGCATGGAAAGTGTTTTCCCGGTACTCAAATGGACCTGATACACCATACTTTGAGGTTTTACTTATAAAAAAAAAAAAAAATAAGTTGGACACAATTTCTGCACAGAAATGAGCTGTAACACATCCATCCAAACACAAAAAAAAAAACAAAACAAAAAAAAAAAAAAACACAGCTAATCGCAACAAATACTGCTCTCTCTGCTTCTGCTCCATTTGTCTCAAAATGTCTGAAATGGTTCATTATTTACTGGCCTACCCAAACGAACGCTATCCCCACTCCAGTCGATCCTAAACTCTGCGGCCTGACTCATCCACCTCACCAAGCGCTCCACATCTGCCTCCCCCCTCTGCCAATCCCTTCATTGGCTCCCGATTGCCCAACGCATCAAGTTCAAGCTGCTAACTCTGACCTACAAGGCCACTCAAAATGCCGCCCCGAACTACATAACTGACCTGATACCCAGATACTACCCTACCCGTGCCCTCCGCTCCTCACAGGACCTCCTGCTTTCTAGCTCCCTGGTCTCCTCCTCCTCCCACGCCCGATTGCAGGACTTCTCTAGAACTTCCCTCATCCTATGGAACTCCCTACCCCAATCCATCAGACTGTCACCTACCCTCAATTTCAGGCGCACCCTGAAAACCCTCCTCTTCAGGGAAGCCTACCCCGACCTCACCTAACACCCGACCTCACCTAACAATTAACCTCCTCCACTCCACCCACCACTCCACCCCCCACAGCCATCTCCTCCTGTGCCACCTTCCCCTCCCTCCTAGACTGTAAGCTCGAAAGAGCAGGGCCCTCGAACCCCTCGTGTATGGTATTGTTACTGTCTTGTCTCATGTTCCGTCCCCCTTGCTACTGTACAGCGCTGAGCATACCCTTTGGCGCTATATAAATACTATATATAATAATAATAATTTACTGTTTTTCAGTGCATTTTGGAAGGTCTCCTGAGGTGATCTTAAAAAAAATGCTTCTAAAAGCAAACATAGTATGCATACAGACGTTTTTTTAATCTACGTTTTCCAGCAGTCCGCTTCCATCGTTCAGAAGTGTCCCGTGTACATGGGGCCCAAGAAGGGCTGAGCAAATGCCCTGCGTACACGGAAGGCCTAATGTAGAAGCTGGAATCAAATTTGGTGCCGAGATCTCACCACAGAACCCTTGTAAGAAATTAAGGGGAACATCACACTGCTTTTCACGCAGTTTAGCTGCATTTTCCAATAGATTTCTATGAGGTCCTGCGGTTTCAGGAAGCTGCCCAATAATGATGGTGCGCTTTAATCAGCACTCACCTTTGGGGTAATTTACAACATAGACGAGATTTCCCCATCCTGTTTCTGGTGCGTGAAGGATTCCTTCCACTAATCTGACTCCACGCATACACTGATTCACTGGATTCCGGTATCTAAGGCCACATGCGCCAGGGAACTGCGCTGTAACTGTTGACAGGAGGACTGTGCCGTCATCTTCGGAGGGAATTTCCATAGGTTCTTCATTTTCATCCTCCGCCACACGAATATATTCCATTTCCATGACTGCAAACTAGGTAAGAAAAACACAAACTTGTAACATTGTTAAAGGATTTTCATTTCTCTTCCTGTTCCAGTGACACCAGGATAAGAAATGAGGAGCAGGTGGCACCGGGACAGGCAGATATATAGTAATAACCTGCCAGGGGTTCTTACCCATCTCCATATTAATACAGTGATTATTTGGATGTTGTGCCCCCCATGGAAACATTTCCCTTCACTTCCTGAGCCAACACAAACTGCAAATGCTGAAGGTTTCAGCTCTGTACACCCACCGTGACCATTACAAAGACAGCCATGCCTTAGATTGTACACCCCTTGAGGGTTAGGGACTGATGTGAATGTACAATATATATGTAAAGCGCTGCGTAAACTGACGGCGCTATATAAGTACCTGAAATAAATAATGCTTCACAAAAGATTTTGTTGTTGATCTTCCTGCATTTAGCATCAGAGTTAAAGTAGAAATAGATATTTTGCCCCAAAACCTTTGTACAGAGTGGAGAGGGATTACACTCCGTCAGGTTTTTATTGCAGTCTGTGTCCCCAATACGGAGATCCACCCTCTACCTTTTCCACAGGAAGTGAAAGAAATTGCCCAATTTTGGGTTGTCACCAGAACAAGAATAGGGGAGAAATCTTCCAATGGGGACAAAAGTTTGGGTGACAACCAGGGGTCTATTCATTTTGGAGAAATTTCCTCTCACTTCCTTAGTTGGCTAAAGTGCAGGAAGTTGACGGAAATCTCTCCAATGGGAAACAGATGGCAGGAAAACAAACAAACAAAACAAAAAACAGACATTTTATAACAGGCTGCTTGCTTTGCGGGAAGCGGACAAAGGAGGAGCCAGGAGAGCCTGCGGGGAACCAGAAGAGGAGCCTGCGGGCTGCCCTGTGCAAAACCACTTCACACAGCAGGTAAGTATGGACATGCATCACTTTAAAGGGAATTGTAACCCCCCCCCCCCGAACAGAAAAGGAGAAAATTTTCCTATGGGGACACTAGCTCAGATGACAACCAGGGATTCCTTCACTTTGGAAGGATTTCCTATGTTGGCTATGGGACAGGAAGTGAAATCTACCCAGTGGGACAGATGGCAAAAAAAAATATATATATTTTTTTTTTTTAAAAAAATATATATATTTTTACTTATATAATTTAAGTAAAAATATATATTTTTTTAAAAAAAAAAAATTTTATTTTAAAAAAAATATATTTTTACTTAAAAAAAAGATAGTTAATTATTAAATTTATTTTAATTTTTTTTTTTTTTTAAGTAAAAATATATATATATTTTTAAAATAAAAAAAAAAAAAAATATATTTTTAAAAAATATATATTTTTTAAAAAAAAAAATATATATATATATTTTTACTTAAAAACAAAAATTATAATAAATTTAATAATTTAAAATTATAATATAAAAATTTTATAATTTAAAATTATAATATAAAAGGATATATATATATATCTCCTTATGTAAGCATTTTACTGTGCACAAAGCATTCTCCCAGCAAAGTAAAACAAACAGGAAAGCTCCTGATGCATACTTGTGACTGGGAGCCTTCCACACATGTGACCACTGACCGCCAATCACATGACTGCAATGCCCACCTCCAAGCCTTTAAAAACATCTTAAAGGGCCAGAAGGAAGGGGTTAAACATGGGTGCCCAACCTGCGGCCCTCCGGCTGCTGCAAAACTACAAGTCCCAGCATGCCTCTGGGAGTCATGTAACGGTCAGCCTTGCAATGCCTCATGGGATTTTTAGTTCCCCAACACCTGGAGGGCCACAATGTGGTTAATAAGGTCGCTGAATGTACAGGTCTCGCACTGCAAGGACACAGAATACAATGGTTTCCTATGTGTCCCATTCACTCGGGAACAGTCTATGGCTGGGCTGCTGTAAAATGTGGCGCACCGTGCACAAGGGTGCTGCAGCGCATGGATGTGCATGAAGTGTTCATTTTGTACTCTTCAAATAAAGTTGGTACAAAAAAAAAAAAAAAAAAAGGGGGGGCCATGTGATGCGATGAATGGAGACCCACACTGCCCCCTTCCACCGCCCCCCCGGGAATGGACAGTGGCCGCTTCATTCCTGCGTGAACCCGGCCTAAGTAACCCTTCCCTGGCCGATCCTCACCAGCACCCACAGGCCTCCAAGCCCTCCTTCCCTGACTAGGCCTCAGCCATGCGGCCTCCGCTCCCGCTCGGCCTGCTGCACTCACGCACCTGCTCCATAGAGGATAATGGAGGATTCCCTAGAGGGACCGGACACCGCACACCGGGGGTAACGCGCGCACATACAATCGTCTCTCACCTCCCTCGAACTCAGCTCCCGCACAAAATGGCGCCCGACAAACTCCGCTCCAATCCTCATCTGTCGAGAGGAACTACCACCGACCAAAGAGGGGGAAGGTAGAGGACTACGACGACAACGTCCCCCGTTATCTCCTTCGATCCGTCCTTCGTCCCTTACCAGCGCGGCAGGGCTATAATACGAATCTGAAGGAGATGTGTGGGATCGTGAAAGGTTTTGGTCGGCGCGGAGCGGAGTGACGGAAACTGAGGCGGTCCACACCTCCGGAAGGGGAGTAAGTGGTACGGCCTGCGTCCGAGGCGGTTGTCAGCGCGCACGCGCAGATTGTAAGGCATGCTTCGCCCTTCATTGTTCTGAAATAGAGCTGTGAAAGGGAAACTTCCCCCCCAGTAACACGAATATGTGCATGGAATGTGACTTCTCTTCATGTCCAGGGTGAACATTCACACACATGGGAGAAAAGAGTGCAGTGCTATTCACCCAGAGCGCTAACAAGGCTCCGGAGGAATAATAGACCGCAAACCATACAATGTCTCAATAATTCCCAAACAATTCAAAATAAAATCCATACAAAGACGTTTTCTCTGCAGGAAGAAAGAGAGAAAGAAGGAGAGAGAAAGAGAGAAAGAAGGAGAGAGAGAAAGAATAAAAGAGAGAGAGAAAGAAGGATAGAGAAAGAAAGGGAAACAGAGAGAAGGAGAAAAACAAAGAAAGAGAGAAATAAAGAATGGAAAAAAAAGAGGGAAAGAAAGGGGAAAAGAGAGAAAGAAGGAAGGAAGAAAGAAATGGGGAAAAAAAGAAAGAGAGAAAGAAGGAGAGAGAAAAAAAGGAAGAGAGATAAAGGAAGGAAGAAAAAGACGGAAAAAAAAAAAGAAAGAGGGAGAGAGAGAAAGAAGGAACGAAAGAGAGAGAGAGAAAGGAAGGAAGAAAGAAAGGGAAACGAGAGATAGAAGGAGAAAAACAAAGAAAGAGAGGAAAGTAAGAAAGGGAAAAAAGAGAAAGAAAGAAGGAAAGAGAGAGAGAAAGGAAGGAAAAAAAAGAAAGAAAGTGGAAAAAAAGAGAGAAAGGAGAGAGAGAGAAAGAAGGAACGAAAGAGAGAGACAAAGAATAAAAAAAAAAGAAAGGGAAAGAGAGAAAGAGAAAAGAAGAGAGGAAGGAAGAAAAGAAAGAAGGGGAAAAAAGAGAAAGAAAGACAGAAAGAAGGAGAGAGAGAGAAGAAAGAAACGAAAGAGAGAGAGAGAATAAAAGAAAGAAAGGGAAAAAGAAAGAGAGAGAAAGAAGGAAAGAGAGAAAGAAGGAGACAGAGAGAAAGGAAGGAAGAAAAAAGAAAGAAAGGAAAAAAAAAGAGAAGGAAAGAGAGAAAGGAAGGACGAAATAAAGGGAAACGAGAGAGAGAAAAAAAGAAAGAGAGAAAGAAAGAGAGGAGAAAAACAAAGAGAGGAGAAAAAGAAAGGAGAAAAAAAAAAAAAAGAAGAAAAGAAGGAGAGGGAGAAAGGAAGGAAGAAAGAAAAAGAAAGAAAGTGGAAAAAAAAGAGAGAAAGAAAGGAACGAAAGAGAGAGACAAGAAAAGAATACAAGAAAGAAAGGGAAAAAAAAGAGAGAAAAGAATGAAAAGAGAGAAAGAAGGAGAGAGAAAGGGGAGAAAGAGAAAGAAGAAAGAAGGAAGAAAGAAAGGGAAACAAGAAGAGAGAGAGAGAGAGAGAAAGAATAAAAGAAAGAAAATGAAAGAAAGGGGAAAAAAAAAGAGAGAGAGGAAGGAAAGAGAAAGGAAAAAAAGAAGGAAAAAAAGAGAAAAAAAAAAGAGAGAAAGAATGAAAGAGAGAGGAAGGAAGAAAGAAAGGGAAACAAGAGAGAAAGAAAAAAAATAAAAAGAGAAAGAAAAGAGAAGGAAAAAAAAGAAAGAAAGGAAAAAAAAAAAGGGAAAGAGAGAAAGAAGGAGAGAGAAAAAAAAGGAGAGAAAGAGAAGAAAGAAAAAAAAGAAAAAGAAAAAAAAAAAAAAAGAGAGAACGAAGGAAAGAAAAAAGAAATAGAGAAAGAAGTAGAGAGAGAGAGAAAGAAGGAACGAAAAAAGAGAGAGAGAATAAAAGAAAAAAGGGAAAAAGAGAGAAGAAAGAAGGAAAGAGAACAAGAGAGAAAGGAAGGAAGAAAAAGAAAGAAAACGAGAGAAGGAGGGAGAAAAGAAGGAAGAAAGAAAGGGAAACAGAGAGAGAGTAGGAAAGACAGAGAAAGAAGGAACAAGAGAGAGAAAGAATAAAAGAAAGAAAACGAAGAAAAGAAAAAAAGAAAGGAGACAGAGAGAGAGAGGAAGGAAAAAAGAAAGAAATGAAGGGGAAACAAGAAAGAAGAAAAGAAGAAAGGAAGGAAGAAAGAAAGGGAAACAAAAGAAAAAGGAGAGAGAAGAGAGAGAGAGAAAGATGAAAAAAAGAGAGAAAGAAGAGAGAGAGGGAAGGAAGAGAAAGAGAAAGGAGAGAGAGAAATATAGAAAGAAAAAAAAAGAAACAGGAGAAAGAAATAGGAGACAGAGAGAAGGAATAAAAGAAGTTTAGAAAGAAAAAAGAGAAACAGGAGACCGAGAGGAAAAAAAAGACAGGAAAATAAAGAGAAAAAAAGGTGAGAAAGAAGGAAAAAGAAAGAAAGGAAGAAAGAAAAAGAGAAAGTAAGAAGAAAGAAAGAAAGAAAAAGAAGAGAGAGAAAGAAGAAAAGGGAAAAAAAAGAGAGAAAGAAGGAAAGAAAGAGAGAAAGAAGGAAGCGAGAGAAAAATAAGGGAAGAAAGAAAAAAAACTAGGAGAGAAGGAAAGAAAGAAACTAGGAGAGAAGAAAAGAAAGAATTTAGGAGAGAAGGAAAAAAAGAAAGAGAAGGAAAGAAAGTTACTAGGAGAGAAGGAAGGAAAGAGAGGAGAGAGAGAAAACAATAAGAGAAAGAGAGAGAGATAAAATTAAGAGAGAAAGGAGAAAAACAATGAAAGAGAGGAAAAAAGAAACAAAGAAAAAAAGCGAGAGAAAGGAGAGAAAGAAGGAGACAGAGAGAGAAAGAGTGAAAGAAGGAGAGAGAAAGGAAGGAAGAAAGAGAGAAAGGAAGAAGAAGAAAAGAAAGAAAGGGAAAAGAGAAAGAAAGAAGGAAAGTTAGAGAGAAAGAAGGAGAGAGAGAGAAAGAAAAGGGGGAGAGAGGACACAAGGCTGGGGGGAGTGTGGGCGGAGCAGACACAGGAGGAAAGGGCAGGAGAAGGAGAGAAAGAACCAGCTTTCTCTCTCCTCCCCTGTCTGTGGTGGGTGGGGAAATATCAGCACTGGGGACAGAATATGCTGACAGATCCCCGCAACAGCTGAATGGAGGGAGGAACCTGGCGGCAGCTCTGCAGGAGATGGGGGGGCGACTGCAAGGGGAGCATACAGGAGTCCAGGGCATGCAGGAGATGGATAGGAGGAGCAGCCGGGTGGCACATAGAGGAACTGAGACATGCAAGGCCCAGTTCCTCTATGTGCCGCCCGGCCACCCGTCCTGTCCAGGCGACCCGGCCCACCGGGTCAATGCCCGGTGTGGCCTCTACCAGTCCAGGCCTGCTCTAACTCATACTAATGCCGGGCCAGGACAAGGGTTGGGCAGGGGAGGCTGCCCTGGGCTCTGTGGTATCATGAGAGGTGGTGGGAGGGGATTTGTGTTAGGGGGCTATTGGGGGCAGCAGGGGATAAGAATTGTTCTAGGAGGGGAAATTTGGGGAGTTGTGCTAGGAGTGATGATTTTAGGGGATTTGTTTTGGGAGAGGGAATGGGGTAAAAAAATTTGTGCTAGAAGGGGGGAATTTTGGGGGGAGGTTGTGCTAGGAGGAGAATTTTTTTGGGGGGGGGAGCTGGATTTGTGCTTGCAGGGTAATTTGTGGGGATTTGTGCTAGGAGGGGAATTTGTGGGGATTTGTGTTAGAATGGGGGATTGGGGAGAATGTGTGCTGGGAATTTGGAGTGGGGGAAGAGGATTTGTGCTAGGAGGGGGGAATTTTTTTGGGAGGTGGTTTTGTTTTGGAGGTACATGGGGAATGAGATGATTTGAGCTGGAGGGGTTGGGGGGGGGGGCAATATTTTTGCTGCTATGTGGGATTTCAGCAGGGGGGGGAGATTTGCACTGTGAGGAGGGGAATTTAGGGGGTAAGCATGCAGATTAGTGCTTGATTTTTTTTTTGGGGGGTGGCGATTTTTGCTGACACATAATGCTCACACATCTAAGGGGAGGGGGGGGGGCAAAGCGGCATGTGTGCCCTTGGCGCTAGCTAATCTTGTCCTGGCACTGATGCAATGCAGGATACTTTGTGATCCGTGTGCGTTTCCCTCGCCTCATTCAATTTGCATTGCCCTTGTGATCTGCAGTAGGTGTCAGTCAATCCTTACCACTTGACCTCTGTTAATTTTTACCCTCTTCATGACCTGGGCATTTTTTGCTACTCTTCTAATTTAACTGGCAATTGCACAGTCATGCAACACTGTACACAAATTAAATCTATATAATTTTTTTCACACACAAAGGTTAGGTTCACACTGATGCGGTGCGGGAAGCCACATGTGATACAGATAGGACTCGCACTGCATTCCTGTTCAAATCACATGCAATTCTTTTGCTGTGCGATTTGAGCCCGTTCATTTCGTATGGCTCAAATCGCACAATGCACCCACAAGAAAGGTGCAGGATCCTTTTTTTCTGCACTGGAATTCATCCAATCGCACTGCATTTTGAGAATCATTTTGGGGGTGTTGTTTACATAACACTGACACCCGCAGCGGTTCTCATAAACGGAGTGCGATTCTGATGCGGTGCGGGAAAAGCACAGAGTACGCTGCGAATGCCGCACCACATCAATGTGAACCGGGCCAAATAGAGCTTTCTTTTGGTGGTATTTGATCACCATCTGGTTTATTTTTGTTTTTTTTATGAAAAAAAGACCGAAATGGTTGCAAAAAAAAAACAAAACAATATTTTTTTAGTTTCTGCTATAAAACATATCCAATAAAAAAATTATTAAAACAAATGTCTTCATTCATTTGGGCCAAAATGTATTCTGCTACATAAAAATCCCAATAAATGTATATTGATTGGTTTGTGTGAAAGTTACAGCATCTACAAACTATGGTATATATACTGGAATTTGTATTTTTTTTTTTATACTACTACTGGCGGTGATCAACGCTTTATAATGGGACTGCGATAGTGCAGCGGGCAATCTCAAACTAACTGACGCTGGAGTGGAACTGATTAACTGCCACTGACATTAATACAGTGATCAGTGATGGTACTGTACACTGTCACT